GTAGGAATTCTCTCTCTCTCTCTCTCTTCCAACAGTGGCCCGGGGAGTGCACATGTTCATTGTTCCCATCTCAAGATCAATACAACTGTCGAAAAATTACAACTGTCACACCATGTATAACTATATATGATACCCATGTGACCAAATTAGGTTTACAACTCACCACTCATCTTCCTTCCAAATTGTGACCGAGTAAATTAATATGAGCAAATTGCCTTGCATTGCATGGCCACCTATGTTTTTTTTTTTTTCTGGTGGCAGACCCTAATGTTAAAACAAGAATCCTAACATGTATGGATAAGAACGAAAACCATGAAAGCCAGTTTAGTGGCATTGATTTCCGAACAGTAAATTCAAAGACTCAAAATCTCAACCATAAAACTAAAAAATATGATACTGTTTAGCTCTTTACATACTTACATGATGATGTATTGTTATTTATTGTAATACGTTGTAATAAGAACGGTTCATTCTCTTTATCATCTAAAAATTATTTCTTTAAAAATTCATTCGTTTTGGAAATGGTATAGTCATCCATATGAATCAAACAAATTGACGATTCATTGTGAGGATGCCGTGAATGACTAGACGAGATCTCTAAATTGAATGAAATTTATAGAAATAATCTTTAGATGATGAAGTGTAAGAGCAACCATATAAACTCTATAACAAACCAGTCAAGAACATAAGATTTTACCAACTAAATCACAACCAACACATCAAATATGTTCCACATATGCAGATATTGAAGTGATATTTGCAACACATACCTGCAGACTGCTTCACAATATCTTTCCCGTGTGTTCTGTCATAATAGTCCTTCATAGTTTGTTATATGATCTCCCTATCCCACACATGGTGAAGATTGGATTTGTTTCTGTACCAACGCAAGGCTATCGTGTTTCCTCCCTCATCTGTCCGGAGCCCGACATGCATCGGCAGCAACACACATGTTCTTTACGGCATTGATCAAAGGAAAGAATAGTGCTAGACACCATATCATAACTATGTTCAACAAATTAGGATTAAGAGCCATTAGAGAAATCTACACACAACCTTCTCCACACAACCTTCTCCTCTCTGCAAAACTCAATGCTCTCCAAGTTATAGGTAATTGGAACAATAAGAGCGTATTTTTGTGAGAGCAGGGGCTTGTGGTTTTTATACTACAAAATCTGGATTACCCTATAATAATCCTACAAGGAATACAAGACCAAATCCTTGTACAAGTATGAGTTCTATTCTCAAGCCAACAGTAGAGTTTCAATCCAAACCAAAGTTGAATTAACTCTTATAAACACATTAAGACCTCTTTATACCAATATGAAATAACAATGATTATTACTAAACTATGAGAATCACACTCATACTCTAACATTCTCCCACTTGAGTATGATTCACAATAGTAAATAATCATCTCAAATTCAATATAAAGGTGATCACATAAGTCATTCATCAACACACTAGTACATAGACACAACCAGCTTACATAAACCAAAACAATGAATTTATAATTGCCTCTGTAACACAAAATACAGATTTAACTTACAAATCACAATGTCCGGTTCATGTTCATAGCAATGTATCTAAGCTCAAGAGTAAACCAAGACGTCTACTCCCACTCATATAGCCCAAAATTGATAAAAAACCAAACCAATTTGCTCCCACTTATCTAGGCCATACTTAACACAAACAAGTTAAGTATAAGTTAATATCAACTGTATTAACTAACAGTCATTGCAATACACTGAATGTCTTATCAATGTGATCAATTGCCGTAACCAATATGCAAACAGATTCCATGATCACTTTCATCCAATTTGTATTTACAACAATGTGATTTTACTTGACTAGAACAAACACATAAATTGGTTTGCTCCCACTATATCAAGTTAAGTTTAGTTCCAGCAAATAGCACTAAACTTCTCATTACTTAAACAAATTAAGTAACATAAATAATTCAACCAATTGCTTCAATAAAACCATAAACTGGTTTGCAAGCATCCAAATGAATTATAATGGCTGGCCTAAATACTCTTAGCCTTATGCTTACATTCGAATATATGATTCTCCCACTTAAGCATAAGCAAAATATACTGCATAGCCGATAAAGAAACCAGAGATATGAACCAATTGGTTCCCGATTCCTTACCTATTGCATAATCTCAGTTTAGTCATATACACCTAAACCATTATGCAAAACAGTCTATGTATAAAAAGATAGTCACAATCCATTCGGAATAACTTATCTCACATAAACCCAAAATCACCAGTTTCAACAATGATCAAAATTAGAATAGCAAGCACAATATTTTTGCATTCAATTTGATCTTAACTAGTTCAATATCTAGTTCAATATCCATCGAGCAAGATCAACCAAAATTTGATAATGTCTGGATATATATCACAACAATATGTCTTGATTAAAACGAGATAATCAAGACCACTATTTCTTCTGGAAAACTCAAAGTTCATCTTCCTCCCTATTTGTGATTTCAACCAAAGCATAATAGCGGAAGCATGCATCATATATGAAATCACAAATATATATATATATATATATATATATATAATAAGCATGCATCTTAAACTCGATGATTTTCACAATACAATAAGCACATGCCCTCTTATGAATTCATAAATTAAATCAATATGCATTCAGCAATGTCAATTTGTGTTGTACAAAAATATAGACAATAGCTCACATAAGCAATTTGTTTATCATCCCTGTATATGGATGAGACAAGCTAATTCTCAAAATTTATAGCTTGACCTATATAATCATACCAGTAAATTTTTTTTTTTTTTTTTTTTTTTTTAAGGTTAAGGTCAATGCCAAAACAACTAATTAAATTTTCAATGCCATGCATTTAAGTTCAAATGATGCCATTCTTCTCCCGATTAGTTTTTAGGTCTTAAAACTACATATACAAAATACCTAATAAGAGTTGGCAACAGAACATTTCGCATTGAAGTCTCACGCAATGCCATTGCTTCTCAATGATCAGTTTCAAGTCTTTAAGCCACAAAATCTAATTTGGGTCAACTAATGAAAATAAGATCATTACAAAATAAAACCCAAATTACACTGTACACAGATCCGTCATATATGCACAATAACGATTCTACCCAAAACATATTTCACATATATATGTTCATTCATCTGTTCATATATTTTCTTGTATGCATGCATCAATATGCAAAGAAACTTGTGCAAGTTCTATTTGATATAGATAAAACCGCATGCCCATAATTACAACATCTATGCACGAATTCTATCTCCATATGCATATAGATTTCATTCATATATGCTATTATATATAAATCACAAAGCAATTGGCATCCATTTTATATATGCATTTGTATTTGTTTCTATATAATACATGCCGACTTGCATATGATATGCAGTCAAATCCATTCCAACCCAAACTTGATATAAATCAAACCAATTGAAAATCAGGAATTGACAATACGATGTGCAAGTGCTGCTCCCCGCAATTAAATACATCGTGATTACCGACATCTCACGTAAATCACAAGTTGGCATCTATAGGGATTTCGAGTTTAATCATGCCTTCACTATATATATATATATATATATATATATTTATATATAAACAAACAAGCATACTCGAAATAGCACAAAAGCCCTAATTCATTATGCTCCAACTCTTCGTACTATAATCACGCATATAGGAGAACAATTAATCATGCATGAAACAGTGAACTGAGTTACCTGAATGCATCATTGGACCCGTGTTCGTCAACCCAATTGCAATTCCTCGGTTCCAAATCAACGAAACAAATTATCCATCAATGCTTGAGACCCATCCATGCGGATTGCCATCACTCCCAATTCCGATGGACCTCGTACCATTGCAAATTATCGAAGTAAATCGCCATTGTTACAGACGCGCCGACCCAAAATCATCGTCAAAGTGACGGTCGGAATCCATCGACACAAATTCCCATAAAAAAAAAAGACAAACCATGAACATTAATATCTCCTAGACAAACAAAAACTTATTAATGTCATCAAACCAAGATTTCATCTTTCTTTTATGTTACTAATATTTGGTCTGTACAAGGCATATTTTATGCACATCTTTATTCATATAAAGGATTAAGAAACCACAATTACCTCAATTTTCAGACATCATAATGAACACAGCGGAAGCAATAATTCTCAAAATTAGAACTATGATGTTAGATAAATGTGTTTTGCTAAATCTCTTTATTGATCTCCAAAGAAGCAAGCAAGAATAAGTTCACCCTTTCCCAGATTGAAGAACACGAGTTTCTCCCCTATTGGATCGATAATGGTAAAAAAAAAATTTAAATAATAAATCCCTAGTTTTTCTTTTACGTTGCCAGGGTCAGAAATAAAAACAAGTATTACTAAAACGACGTCGTATTATCATCGCTCTCACAAAAATACGCTCTTATTGTTCCAATTACCTATAACTTGGAGAGCATTGAGTTTTGCAGAGAGGAGAAGGTTGTGTGGAGAAGGTTGTGTGTAGATTTCTCTAATGGCTCTTAATCCTAATTTGTTGAACATAGTTATGATATGGTGTCTAGCACTATTCTTTCCTTTGATCAATGCCGTAAAGAACATGTGTGTTGCTGCCGATGCATGTCGGGCTCCGGACAGATGAGGGAGGAAACACGATAGCCTTGCGTTGGTACAGAAACAAATCCAATCTTCACCATGTGTGGGATAGGGAGATCATATAACAAACTATGAAGGACTATTATGACAGAACACACGGGAAAGATATTGTGAAGCAGTCTGCAGGTATGTGTTGCAAATATCACTTCAATATCTGCATATGTGGAACATATTTGATGTGTTGGTTGTGATTTAGTTGGTAAAATCTTATGTTCTTGACTGGTTTGTTATAGAGTTTATATGGTTGCTCTTACATGAAGATGATAAGAGAATGAGTAATTCGACTTATGATGTTTGTACGGTAAATATTATCACGACATCGTGTAAAATTAAATGGCTTATAGCTAAGTATTATCTGAAAATCATAAAGAAAAGAGAAAAGAAAAGAATTACACAAAAGTCTAATGTTCATTTTGCCAGGCCAAAAAACAATAAAATTTACAGAAATCACTACCTCAACAACTACTTTTTGGACACCCTTTAAGGGTTTTATGTCAAACAGCTAGCTGCTGCTGTTGTTGCTGCTGATGGGAGGTTTCATCCTCATCAAAGCACAAGTGGAGCTTTAGTGATTTGCCTAAACTAAGAGAAGAATCTGCAGAATCTAGAGGTGGTTGCAATAGAAGCATCTCCCTCTGGAGATACGAACAGTGGGTGGTGAAGGTTGAGGGGGTCACGTTTAAGTCGAAGCTCAAACCAAATAGGAAATCCACTTCAAGAAAATTCATCTCTATTGTGCTTATTCCTCCAACTTTTGCATAATATGCATTGTTGTAGTACCTGAAATTTCACACCAGATAAATCAAAACGGATATAAGCTAGTTAATTCTTCAATATATATACATATCATTACAAAACGTTGGAGAAATTTTTGACCAGGAGGCTTATTATGATGTGCATATAAAAGAGATATTCTACCCTCTCACCGATGATATCGCTACGTTAATAACTCGCATGAGCATACATCCGCCAGTGACATCCAAAAATTTTCCCCATATTACCCATATTTCCTTATAAATGTTATTGACTTTATGTAACTGACCAAAACTTATTAAATTAGGTCACCATGTGCATCTAGGTGGATACTCCATTTATATAGGAAAAGCCAGGGTATCACATGGCTGGACTTAGTTGGATTTTAGAACATTGTTGGAAGCTTTACAGCCCTAAACCAAACGTTTATACATTTTAGTTCTGAAAATTTTCCAAATTAATCATTGAATCAAAATTCTGTACGAGTTAACTGCCTCTAATTTTTCCAAATAATTACAAAGTCTTTTTATGAAGATACAAAAGCAAGAAAGTAAGCAAAACCCAGATCGAAAACAGTGAGACTTCTATACCACAGACACAGAACACTTAATAAGGTAAAACCCATCAAGGAAAAATAACAGTGAATTCATATTCTTTTTAAATGTACAGTTCATGCATGAAACATAATATCTAAACGTTGAACAATTTGATGAACACAATGCAAGTGAATGGATATGGCCACCAAAAAAATTGCAAAATCTTTTTGAGTAACATTATCAAAGATTTTTTTTTTTCTTTCCAAATTTTGTTCATGAGCTAGTAAAATTCAGCTTCAAGACTTACATGTCATCCATGAACTTTGCAGCCACCATGACACTTGTAATCAGCAACCGGTGAACGTTGAATGAGTTGATTGGCAACGAGGGGTGCCTCTGCGAAAATCGATCCAGATAAACATATGCAACGATTAAGCAAGATGGGCTGCAATCGGCATACTTGAAAATCCTCTCTAGGTAACTCTGTATGGAAATGGTGGGTCTAGTTAGACCATGGAAGACTGAGATTTTCTGGGGTTGGAAATGACTGTTGAGGTCGTTCGATTCCGCCACTCTTTGAACCAGAGAAGAGAGGAAAGTTATGATCTGTGTCATCACTGCTGGGTTCTCTAGCTCTGCCATTGAGATGATGACCAAGCTTTTTGTTTTTTTTGTGTTTTTTTGTTTTTGGAAAGAGATGATGAGCAAGTTTGGGTTCTCAAGTGTTTGAATTTTTGTTGGTGCTGAGTGCTTGTGTTGGGGTGTATATATGTGTGGACAGTTGGGAATTAGTGTTTTATTTTTTATTTTTAGTTTTTTTGGTTAAAGAAAGGAGGGAACATGAGAGATGATAGAGGTCAAAGAAGAGAAAGGAGGGTAAATATGTATAAAACAAAACAAATAGTCAAAACTGGTTTTTTTAGTTTTTCATGTAACTATTATTTATCTTTTGTCTACCATTTTCTTGTTATTTGAACTAAAAAAAACCAGAAAACAAAAATGGCCTCAACAATTTGAATTATGACTTTATGTGCCCTCATTTGTATAGTGGGATTGTGACTTGTCACAATTTTTAAAAAAACTCAAAGGTACTGATTTTGAGTTGGGCAATGATTTTCTTGCTTTTTTCCCTTTTCATTTCAAATATTTACTGATCTAAGCGATTATTTACGTTAAAATTCATTTAACTACTAAAAGAGCACTTCAACTTGAGTGCAAAAAAGAAACAGAATGCTCTAACCAACTAATTAATCTTATTTCAAACCTTTTTTTTCCTTTTCATTTCAAACCTTTTGAAGAGGGAAGAAAGACGAATTAACGGTGGATTAATAGTGTCCTTTTCCAATAGTGAATGTGGGATTTTCCGGTTATTTGCTGTGACAAATTGACACTAGTGATGGCATACCATACCCATCATGTGATTACATGTGGGGAAATTGTGACTGTAAAATGGGGGTCCCAATATTTTATAAGAGATCTTGCATCTTTGCATGTGGTGTGATTCGCATACACACACACACATATAATATATTTTGCTACTTTTGTTGCAAGCAATAAGCACGCTTCAAATTATAAATTTAGGGACTGTAGTTTGGGTTTAAGATTGGATCAAATGATCCGAATCTTTGCTTCACTAATATAAATAATGCTAGATTCCGTTAGTATTTAGCAAATAATGTGTATGTCATTATTTGGCAAAAAAAATAATAATAATAATGCGCATTTCATTGGTATTTATACATACTAATTAGTTTAAAGCAAACGACGTCTATAATTTTTTTCAAATTTGAAACGTTGTTGTATTATTTAGTGACAACCGCTTCTAATAATTAAAGTTTGCCACAGATTCAATCTATGGGGGTTAACTACCTCAAAAATACGTTGATAGGGATTAAAAGTTACCCATATTGACATGGCATTGTTGTCTGTGAATCAAATAGCAAAGCAAAACAAAACGTCAAAATCTATAGAAGAAGGGCAAGTTTTGGACACTTTCAATCTAGCATGCATATAGCTCGAGGTATGAGTATGGTTATACCGATATGGCCGAACAAAGAATATGATTATATGCAAAGAGATATAGACTTGCCAATGCCATCTTCACTCAGTTTATTTTTTCTTTATAATAATTGGTCTACTTATATAAAATTTCCGATTGTTTGGTCATTGACCTAATAAGTTACCTAATTAACCAAACGACATGACTTTTGAATTTCTATAGCTACAGAAATCCCTAATGATCTAATCCCGCAATCTTATACGTTACTAATAGATGATGGGTGGATTGCCCCAACATATAGGGTATTTCTCTTCATTGCTATGTGTCTCAAGTTCAAATTTTGTCTCTCTATGTAGTCGACTTTACAGTAGTAATATTATTGCACGAAATGAAGAGGGAAAAAGTTTAAAATGCTATAGAATTCAAATGCTAAATGCCAAACAAAAAGTTAGGAAGAAAAAAAAAAAGTTGGATTGTATAACATTGTCCTATTAGTGTGATGATGCATGATTCTTCAAAAAAAGTTGTGATAGTGCATGAAAAATTGTGTGTATTTGGAATGAAATTATTAAATACATGTATTTCAAATGATTAATTGTAACTAGTCATTTCTGAGAGTGTTTTATAGAATAGTGATTTTGTATGCTGGTTTTGGAAAGGATGGAAGGTACCAAAAATGGTGATGTTTGCACAGAATTTCAGAAGAGAATGTCGGCTATCGGAGACTGCATTTTACAGCAGCTTTTTGACACACACACACACACACACACATATATATGTATATATCATTGAGGAGGGTTTCGGAAAGCTTAGTCAGCCCTTATCTCCATTGGAGCTAGCTGACAAAAAACATACCAACCCAGTTCCTACAATCCTAATCTTAGCGCTTCATTGGAGCTTCTAATTTGACCTTACATGTGTCAAAAACTATCACTTAGATTAAACTAGCGGTTACATTTAAACAAAAAAACTAGCCGTTAGCTTTCTTGATTTGCTGCTGCTTCTTCACCTTCCTTGAGCTGATTTCCAGAATCAGTTTAGGATCCAACAATTTCTAATGCATTTTCTACAGGCATTTTTTACACCAACTCACGTCATTACAATTGCAATTTTAATTACATTGCACACAGAAAAAAAAAAAAAAAAAGAACAAAAAAAGTAACTCAATGAAATGCTGGCAAAAGAATCCATTAATAAGATATACATTTACAGTAGTAAATATATAGTTTCTTCTTCTTAATTATAATTTTGTTTCATACTAAAATAAAGGCTAGCTTTGTATATATAGATAACCCAAGCTGCAGCAAAGATCAGTTGTTTTGTAGACAATCTAACTTCTCACGTTCTGGCATGTTATCCCTTCATATAATACACACACACACACACACACATAATACCTTTGTCCTAACCAAGCAAGCACATATCATCATCTACAGTACTGCACTAGGACCTTCCTCCAACCTCTTGAATAACATTTCTAATCTTATTTGAGCTTTTGAAATTACTGTTAACAAATATCGGGATTAATCAGACCAGTTCTCCCGAGCAATCTTAGTAAAAAAAGACACACTATATCTGAAACAGACGAATTAAAATCTACTATCAGTTAGTTAATAGCCAGCCGCTATATCATTGAACCACTAATCCCACTTTTTATACATGAACATGTAGAGCTCATGTTTATTCACGTCCCAAACATTGCTTAGGTTATTAGTAAAATTTCAAGTGCATAAAAATCATCGTACATGCATACAATAAATGTTACACCATTTATATGGTCAAACTTACAATCTCTTATAATTAGGTTTTTAGTATGATCCACAAGTTGTCGGGAAATGAGTTAATACTGTATATAGCTTACTTAGAAAAGTAAAGTTGGAATGAGAAGGCGAAGATTTCCAAATGCCAAGCTGGAATCGTGTATTTATAGAGTATGTTGGAGTGAAACATGGGCAAAATATGTTAACGAAGAAAAATGATAAGGAAATTCTCTTAAAAATGAGACTTTTCATGGACTCTCTAACATCTCATGTTTTTTGCACAATAAATTATAATGTTGACATGAAAATTCATGTTAAACTGTGCGGTGGTAGAAATTATATAAAAAATCTCTCTTTAAGAAAATATCCTTAACATTTCTTCTTTTAGTACTAAAAGTAACATCTCAGCATTTTATTGGGATCATTACTCGTAAGCTTTCCCAAACACATGTTCTGTTCATGTTATTCCCCTCCCTCCTAAAAAATAAAAAATAAAAACCAAAACTACATTTACATCGTTGCCAGCATGATTTGGCATCTGAAAAAAGAATAATCCCTTTGCAATCGAAAAATAAAAATGGAAAACCAAGACCAACCCTACTACCACATGTTCTCCATTTTGTGTGCATGGTAGTGGGCATCATGTAACTTTAAAATATGTCTTTTATTTTTTAAGAATACAATTTAGTGATGTTACTCTTCGTTTGTAAGTGAGATATTTTGGTTTGAATATCGTAAATGATGAGTTTGATATTAATTTATTTCTCGCTCTTTAAGTAAATATATTATTGTATATAGAAAAAATTAATAACTTCCTTGAACCCCTTGGTATGTGCCTTAGATCTAGGACTTCCGTTAATTAAAATTATACTAAAAATCACTATTATTGAGTATTGACATATACAAAACGAAGGGTGAGCCGGTGGGTCGGAACCATGCATTGTATTATATGCATATGCAAGGTTCTATAATTAGCATATCGAAATTCCTTTAAATTCATTTCATTTATTCTAAAAAAAATAATAATTAATTTCAATAAATATAGATATATAATAACATAGATATCAATCGGTATTGGTTGACATGGGTATATAAGTCATGTTATACAGTTGACAAATGGTCGAAGCAAAAGTCTGCGCTTTCGTAGCAAAACATGGTCGGGGTGGTGTGGCAACACGAACAACTGTGACAAATAATGCAAGAATTGGGAGGGTGCAAAGCATGGGGCTTGTCATGCAGACTTTCGAGTTTGGGCTTGTTTTTACTGCTTCGAATGTTAATAAGCATGAAATAGCTTCAGTGCCGCTGCGTATTGCTGTTGCGCGATCGTAGTGCTAGTCTTATTAACTTTTTCGCATGTCGTCCTGTTCAAATAAGAGTTGTGGCTTGTTTTGTCACTAGCTAGCTAGTTGCTGATATAGTACTGCTCAATAAGTGTTTCTGTTGAATCAAATAGAGTACTTGGTTTTGTATCCTTATCATGAGTATTCCATATACGTACAATATTAGAGTAGGAATGGCAGAATGTGCATGGGTCATGATCATATGCATGCTTTCTGTACAGCAATCTGCAATATAAGTTCAACTAATGCCTGTTATCTGGCTTGGAAAGGATTTGGAAGTAATTTGATCCCAGTAGTTTGATCGAAGTTTCACCTTTTTACATTTATTTCACAATTTAACACCAGTAATATAGGAACTTTTGCAACTCAAGGACAATCAATCGCTTAATTACCTAATCAAATTAATTTTTTTTCCTTCGAGAAATTAGCACGTGTGAAACCTCAGCAAAACTACATGGACCAAAATAAGTAGACCTCAAAATTTATTCCGTCAAATTTGCATACCTAATTAATATTCTATACAGAAATTAAGCGACTAGATATTAACCCAAAATGATAAGAATACAAAAACCGAAATTTAATCGCTAAGAAATTAAGTGATTAACATCATAATCCCACACTTGAATCAATATCGTTCATCAACCTGGGCAGAATTACAACGATATCTTGATCTAATATAATTAACCTAGATAAGTCAAAGATATATTCAACAGCAAACTTTCCTGCTAGTTTATTTTGTACTGACACTGTATCAGATGATTGCCCTGTAAATGTTATGTTTCTAGCTTAGAACTTCAATAGATTAAGTTTTAGGTCAGTCTTTTTTAAGCAAATTTTCTCACGCTTATAGTTAAGGTTACCATATATACATACAAGCATAACTGTATATATATTTGCAAGTAAAACCACTGCTTTTATTTATTTATTTATTTATTTTGAGTTCCACTGCATTTTATTAAGATAAACTATTAGAGCAGTTCCACCATGGGCAATAACCTGGTGGACTGGCTCTCAAACAGTGCCAGAAAGCCCGAGCAACTTGGTCCAGCGTGTGCTGGCGATGGAGCCCGAACGGGCCCGAGGGAGAGGCCCGGCAGAAGTTGCCAGCCCGAGAGCCCGAAGAGCATGTGACGCAAGGCTAACGTCTGGGCGACGTC